TTGAGGATGTAAGTCAATTATCCTGAGGAGATTTTATCTCCCAAACTCCGTGAACTTCTCGTTCCTCTATAAGAATGAGATAAGGAAATGGTTTGCCAAGATTATGCTAATCTGGGGCAATCAAGTCAAGATCCATTGACTCTCAAAGTTTCGTCAGTTTGAGGCAGTTATGTAGAGATTCGACAAATCTCTCAAAGTGTCGAGTGATCAGGGTCCGTTACCCAAGATTTATTGAAGCCTCTTCTAATTTTTATTAGTCGGAAGCCGTGTTTCAAAGTTTGTAACACTGGGGAAGTTTATCTGGATGGTACAGATAACGGTAAGTCCTTTTAAGGCACGTTATTTAACATCCCTACAGACAGGGGCAATGCATTATGCAGGGGAATTTCTCCCATTTCATAGTTGATCAGTTTAAGTCTGGTCGAAGGCTAAACAATTTATGAATGTGAAGAGCTGGACGAAAAGTCAGAATTGTTATCTTCAACTCATCAGAAGGAAAGATAAAATATGTGTGAATGCTATTATGTGTCAAATCCGCTATGGTTGTGCTTTTGTTGTTCATGTCTTTGATGGCCACTTATGTATCGGTGATGGGAATTTTGAGATGCTTTCATTTGTTGAAACTACTCCTTTTTTAAGCTGCTTATCATGTTGTCTGTTTTCAGAGGAAGTACCTGCAAAAGTGTTAGAAAAATACGATGTGGTGTGTGCAGGTGGAACCTGACCATGCAAAGGATTAGGAGGAGGCAAGTTACGAACAAGAGAGATACATTCTCTTCTATCACACTCATCATCAATGTCACCACCAGCAGCGACATTTTCAGGAATTTCCGTGGGCACCTAGCTCATTTCCAAGATTGTCATCTAGAGATTTCTCGTCTAGAAGTAGCTGAGACGTGACAAAAAATCCATCTCTTTATTTTCTGCAAATTCACACATTAAAAGGAAAACATTAAATTAAAAACTCGTGGGTTGCCTTTCATGCATCACTTTGTTTAACGTTGATAGCTTGATAACTCAGAAGTGAAAGCGCTCATGGTGGTTCTCTCGGGGATTACGCCTTGATTGAACTTTTAATAATATTTGGTCTCCATTACCACTTATCAAGCCATCTCACATATCCCTTACCTTTTCTTTTCTTTCTTTTGTGGGGTGGTTCATTCTTTTGAACTTGTGGTGGTGGTTCTGGATCTATCCTGAGTATCAGCTTTTTAAGCTTGGGTTTAGTTATTTCATCCACCACCTTAAAGGCTAACCTTTCCCTCTAAATACTGTTGATTTCCTTAGTTTCATAGTCCTCTAATTTTATATTTTTATGCAAGACTTCAAACAAGGGTGCATTGGTGTGGATATTTTCCAATACCATCACATATGTTTTGGATTTGGAGTCTACCTTACCTTCCACAAACCTTTGCGGGAAAGGAATCAGTGGGGTATAGGGAGGAGGAACAACAATAGGGGATTCCTTCTCTACCTCTTCGACAACCTCCCTTTCGGACGGTGTCGGTATATTTTTCTCAATCTCTACTCTTTTCTCGCCAGAACTCTTCTCAACCTCATTATTACTCTCTTCAACCTCATTATCACTCTCCTTAGAATTTTCAAATTTTTTTTACTACTGGTTGTTACAACATTCACATGCTCCTGAGGGAAGGGTCATAGAGGTTCTTGTTCAAGAATGAAAATTTGAGTCTCCAAGGCCATGTTGTGAGTCACGAGGGACCAACCGCATTGTTCAGCTGCCTAAGAGTTTCATTATTATGTAGAATTTATTTTCTAAACTCTTCATTTTGGAAAATTTGTGTCTCTACAAAGTGCTCCATCATAGATTCTAGCCTAGAGTGAGTTTGCGTCAAATTTAAATCCTCCATAAATGTTTCGAGGGTTTAATTATCGGATTCTTTCAACTCCTCAAAATATTGGGCGTGGTGATTGTAGAGGAAATCTGATTGAGGATAAGTTAGTGTCGCATTGAAATCCTCCATTAATGTTTCAAGGTCGGAGTTATGGAATTCTTGCGAATCCTCAAAATGTTGGGGTTGGTAGTTGCAGAGGTAATTTGGATGAGAATGAGTTAGTGATGCATTGAAATTCCCCATTATCATTTCAAGGTCGGATTTATGGGATTCTTGTGACTCCTCAAAATGTGGGGGTTGGTAGTTACAGAAGTAATTTTGATGAGTATGACTTAGTGATGCATTAAAATTCTCCATTATTATTTCGAGGTCGGGTTTATGGGATTCTTGTAATTCCTCGAAATACTGAGAGTGGGAGTTGAAGAAAAATTTGGGTGATACATAGTTATTTAGGTAAGAGTGCCTTATTCTATATGGTTCAACAACGGAATAACAATATGGATTGTTGGTTCTCCGGCAACGGTGCCAAAAACTTGATGCGTTCGCAAGTGCATGGAAATATCAAAGTAATATAAAAGATTGTCGAACCCATAGAGACCAATATCAACATATTGTAATCTATCATCGCTTTGTAAAGCTAAGTCTATGAATAGATTAAAGGGGAAACTAATACTAGAATAAAGACTAAAATAAGATTAAGGAAATATATAAGAAAAGAGAGGTCGGAATGTGAATTTCGTGTGCCTCAGGGACTCTGTAACTCATTCGTGTTAATCTACGATTAAATTACATTCAGTAGAAAATACCAGTTTAAAGACTCTATCTCACACTCTCGCGCTATTCACACTCCCTAACCACAAGATTTTTCTCTCGCTCGTCCGATTTAATTAGAAAGCATACTTTTGAAAACCGATAAGATCCTAAACGATTCCTAAAGTGATCTCTCTGTTTTTAGGATCGATGCCCCGTTCCCACTATCCAGTTCCTTCCTCACAATCTCGCGACATCGGCTTGAACCTTAGTTTGTTATTCACTCTCGTGTCAAAACAATGTTTAGTAACCTCTCACTCTCGTGACAAAGCTACTTAAATTAAATTGTGAAACAAAACCTAAAATATAATTTATGAAAAACTTATCCCAATTTCATTACCGAGTCCTGTCGAAAATGAAGGTCCTCACATACCAGACTCAAGACAATTTATCTAGACATATTACTTATTGAAAACACATTTATACATAACGATTGCAACGGAAAATAGTATGGTAATTAAATTTGACAAACAAGGCAATAATAATAAGTAATACGGTAAAAAGAAACCTATAAAAGCTGAAATAAATAAAACTGAAATTAACTTCAATTATGTCAGCAAGATTAACGATCCAAGAATACATAGATTGTAGGCCTAACACTAATGGTGTGGTAGTTCCTCGATGTGAGAAACTACCACTTTTACAAATGTGATTTCTTCCTAAAACTACGAACAGTGGTTCCGCGCGATAGCTTAGATGTCCGGGAACTGACCCAGAGGTCCTATATATAGAGATAAATATGCTGGTATCTTTCTTTGGTTGGTTTCAATAGTTGAAGGAAAAAGAAGTTGAGAAAACTGCTACAAACTGCTCTTATGCGAAAACTGATGTATGCGAAACAATGGCCAACGTCATTAGGGTAATGGCAAAAGCCATTGCCTCCTTCATTAAATGACGTGGCACTGCTAAGGGACGGAGAACATCGTCTGTCTATGACGAACGCCATCTGCCTATGGCGAACACCGTCTGTCTATGGAGAACATCATATCAGCAGAATGATTCATTTCTTACTCTTTTGCTCCTCTTTTGCTTCCTTTCCGATATTCTTCACATAAACGCTCCATAATCGGCAAGTACCTGAAACACAAACAAAGCATGGCATATACTACGAAAATATAATAAAAAGATACTAAATGGCATGTGAATTGGGTCTAAAAATACGATACATTTATGTATTGTCACATAGTCGAATTAGTGAGCAGATACATGAGTGAACCAAGGGTGTCACACATGAAGGATGCAAGAAGAATTTTGAGATACTTAAAAGGATCGATAAATTATGGAATTCTATTTCGACGAGACTCTGAAAGCAAAGAAGCAACATTTACTTGTTTTTCAGATGCTGATTGGTGTGGAGATAAGGAAGATCGAAGAAGCACAACTTGATATATCTTTCAAGTATTTGGTGCCCAAATCTCATGGTGTGCTCGAAAAAGCAACCTCAAGTGGCATTATCATCGTGTGAAGCTGAATATATAGCCGGATCCTATGTTGCAAGTAATTTGGATCAGATCAGTACTTAAAGTAATGAAGGTCGAAGTGAAGAAACCTCTTGTGTTACAAATTGACAATAAGTCAGCCATAAATCAGGAGAAGAATCTTGTTCTGCATGGAAGAAGTAAGCATATCGAAGATAGATTTCACTTCTTGAGGAAAAAGGTAAATCGAAGTGAACTTTAAGTTAGGCACTGCTCAAGTGAAACACAGTTAGCCGACATTTTCACCAAAGGATCGAAGATCGACAGATTTTTGAATTTGAGAAAGAAATTAGGAATGCTTTAGATTGACTATTTTTAGAGTATGTTCGACAACTTAGATTATAGGGAGTATGTTGAGATATTAGACCTAATCTAAGTTGTGTAACCTAAGTCCAAGCTCAATTAGGATTTGTTAGCCTATTTAGTGTATATGTTAGGTGTATATAAATAGTCAGAGTTTGTTTCATTATTTATACAATTAAATTCAACGATACAATCTTTATTTCCTTTCTCTCTCTTTCTCCCTCATTAAAAATGTCACACACACTATCCGTTACAACATATTACAACTAACTACATTTTTCTTCAAAATGGTAGCATAAGCAACTTTTTAACATCAAATATTGATATTTACACACTATTACAAGAGTTTTTAAGATATAAACTTCAAAATACAGTCATTACAAAAATTCAAATAGCATAATGGGTACATGAAGAACGAAATGCAAGGGGTGATATTTTAGGGGTTTTGGTCCATCTGAGATTCCATTCACTCCAATAGAGAAGAATAAACACACAATTGAAAGGCATATATTTTTCAAAGAGAGAGAAAAGTGAACTGAATCCAGTATAAGGCTTAAGTTTCTCCATCCCAAATGTCAGGAATGAACGCAAATGGGCCATTGTTGACACGAATCTGTTTGATTTTATCAATCTTTTCATGGTCATCTCTTGTAAGTGACCAATCAAATATCTCCAAATTTTGCTTCATTCTATCCTTGTTGTAGCTCTTCACAGCCATACTCACCCCTTGTTCATACAACCATCTAAGACATACCTATAACACCATTAAGGATTAAATTAACTCCATCAAATACTCACCATTATAACTCACTTAAAGAAATATGAAAGAAAAAGTGAATGCAACTAGCTAAAAGTATGGTTTTAAATTACATTCCTCAACCATAATTGTTGCCACAATGTTATGGATGCCGTAGCTTCTGCAACCACATTAGACCGTAATTGCAGCTGCAATATTGCTGATACAGTAGTCTTTTCAATCGCATCAAACCACAACTAAACCACAATTGCGGCCATAATATTGTTAATATGATACCGCATCAGACCGCAAAAGTGGTTGTCGCATCAGACTGTAATTGCGGTGTGATTTAAAATCACAAGTCTGACGGTATTAAATCACATCAAACAATTCAACCCATGCTTCTTCAAATATTTTCATCAAAATTCAAAATTTCACAAGCCCAAAACTCAAGTTAGTTAACATTATGTGTGTTTTAAGGGAGTACTTAAAAAACCTTCAATTAAAATTCACACTGCAACGACTGTCGTGCGCATCGTAGTAACTGCAATTGCAATGCATGCAACCGCAATTTAAATCAATGGCTGAAAAAAACTTTAAAAAAGGTAACTTTACCTGAGCAACAGTCTTCCCATGTTCCTCAGCAATTTGCTTGAGTATTTCACTGTCTATAACTTCATTAGAACCCCACATGGTCCCTTTGGCTCCTAAAGGAGAGAATGCAGTTATAATTATACCCTTTGCTTCACAATATTCTTTTAGCTTCTTCTGATGCCAAACAGGATTCATCTCTACCTATATTTGGTGGTAAAAAATGAGAAAAGAGAAAAGTCCAAAGAGAGCAAGAAGAGCTTATTGGCTTACTTGATTGACAGAAGGAAGAATGGTAGCAAAAGAGAGTAGATCCTCAAGTTTCTTGCAAGTGAAGTTGCTGACTCCTATAGATTTCGTTAGGCCTAGTTTCTGGCATTCTTCCATTGCTATCCACACTCCTTTTAAGTCAAGTGTGGTTATTAACTCTTCAACATATGGCAATTCCCAATTTCCAGGTTTCACACTGACTGGCCAATGGATCAAATAAAGATCCAAATATTCTAATTTCAGGGTCCTACAGTATAGCATCAATTTTAGTCCTCATGCTCAAGGATTTAAAACAAGTCACTTGGGCTTTCCCAATTTCGGTACAAGTGTCGCGATACTGATATCAATTAACCACAATTTATTCTTTAACAATATGACTAATGATTTCAATTTGAAAAAGGATAGAATTTTGCTTACTGGAGTGATTTCTGAAGGGCAGGAAGAACAAGGTGTGGAAAATTATCGGTCAACCAGAGTTTGGAGGTGATGAAGAGTTAGTTCACCTCTTGATTGAATTAGACCAAGTTGAAGTGCCTGTTGTATAGCTTCTCCTAAAGCCTCTTCAGAACCATAGATTGATGCTGTGTCAAAGTGTCTGTAACCCGATTTGATCGCTTCAACTACTGCTGCTTTTGTGATTTCTCCATCGTTATTGGTTACAGCAGCAGTGCCAAATGCTATCAGTGGCATGTTGCTTTGGTTGGAGGATGATTTCAACACAATTTGAGGGATTTTGGAACAAGACATGGTGATGATAACAGACTATGATCTCTTTGCTTCTATCTCTTTATATAAAAGCAAGAAAATGATCGGGTTTGGAGGCATAGAGTACCGTAAACTAAGGCATTTAGTATGGGCCACCTAGTTTTGGTTGACCATAGTTTTTTAATATGCGTACATTAAAGTTTTTTTTACCTGCTATCAATATCTTAAACGTGTGAAATTCACCAATATCATGCGAGTGAATAAATATCTAGACTTTATGGATACTTGTACTGTTGGAACATGTGATCATTTAATTAAAAATTTTAAATTAATAGATGGAATATTAAAGGCCATTAGTTGGAGATAATAGTAATAAATAATATTTTTAATTATAATTAAAAAAAGAATTTTTATAGTTGGAATGGTGTTGAGCCTTACCATTCAATTAGCATTGAAAAGATCAATCGCTCAGGAATCAAAAGCATGGATGGTAGTCGAAATTTTTTTTATGGTTACTGTAATACGGTGAGAGAACTGACTTTTGCGTTTTATACAAATATGTGGATAGCTAGAGTCGCCATCGACTTTTCTTTTATCCAATAAGGAAAGGTGAAAAGAATAGGAAAAACCTTGATAGATTTTGAGTTCGCGGGGTAAGATATGAAAAGGGAAGGTGTTAGCACCCTTTTCATCTGTAGCTATTTACGAGCTCTTAATCACTAGCTCACTTTTTGAAAATTGATTTTTTTGTGTAAGTGTTTGAAAATATTTTGAAAAAAAATAAGCCAAAGTACGACTATCTTTGTAATGGTTCTTGTATCAGTCCTCAAGAACGCGTACAAAGTGTTTTAGAAAATATTTTTGAAAATGATGTGTGAAAATGTTTTTTAGAAAAGTTGTGAGCGAGTGATTAATAGTCTTACCCACTCAAGGCCGTTCTTGTTATTTTCCTTCTCCTTTAGAGATAGTGTTATCCGTACCATTAGTTGGTAGGTAGCTCCATCTATTGGATATGAAGGGACAATCGAGGGTCATCGTATGGTCATCGAAAGCAACAAATAAGGATACTTTAGCAATTATCAGAGGGACTAGATCATTTTTTTTAGGAAACATCGAAGGGTCATCGAGAGACTATGATCTTTTATTCGAATGGACTTTACTAAAGTATCCCTATTTTCGAGGGACATGACCATGTTCTCAAAGGCAACAAAGAGAGATTACCTAAAGGCGCGTGTGTGAATAATGATTCAATTCAGTTGTTTTGTCTTGCATTTAGGGTTATGCTATCGATCGTTTTTATTTTGTCATACACGCCTAATTACTAACAGCATACAAATAAGGCAGAAATATAAAGTGTGGAAAATAAAAGTCCTACGCTATTACATGGCTTCAAGGCAGTTACATAATAAAGATGCGGAAAATAAATCCTAAAACTATTACATATTCGGAGCAATTACATAATAGGAAAAAAAAAAGCGAGATAAATATAAACCTAAGCTATTACATAAGGAACGCGCGACCTATACAATTGATCTAGAAAATTGAAAAATATAAAAATAGAGAAGAAAATATTTTCGGTGACTTTTTATGAAGAAAATAGTTTATGAAAATAATTAATAAAAACCTAAAATTCTAATTGATTTTAATATATTTTTTTAAAAATAGGTTTAATTAATTTAATTAATAAAAATAAAAAATTTATTGTTACAAAAAACTTAAACCCTAACTTAATTAGTTATTAGAAAAGTATTAGGTTAATTAAGAATAATTAGGGTTAGTTAATTATTAGGGATAATTAATTAAAAGGAAAATAATTTAAAAAAAGGAAAAAATAGGATTAGTAAAAAAGGGCAGAAAAATAATGCATTGGGTGGGTGTTGAACCCACGCCCTGAAAGTCACAGGCATGCCTTCCATCCACTGTGCCAGCGTTGCATTTGTGTTAGGAAAACAAGCGCATTACATAATATGAGAAACCTGTATGAATTGGTAAAAATATGAAGAAAAAAATAGAAAAAGGTAGGGATCAAACCCATGCCCTTGTATAGTAATGCCTTAATGCGCGCGCTTCTGCCACTGGGATGGATATACATATATTAACTTAATCAAACCAAACTACATATAATAAAATCTGATTAGAGTGACTGGAGAAGCGTCGGAGCCCTAGCTCTGGTCGTCTTCTCCGACGAGTATATTTCATCAACCCGCAACACAACAACTGTTAGTGATCCAAAGGGATCCTATCCCCCTAATTTGAGGGTTGTGAATTCAATGGTACCCTTGGTTTTTGCTAATTCTCCCTACATAATGAGATACGAAGAAAACAATGTGGATCCGTTCAAGAATGATGATCCATGATTCTGTTATCATGGGGGCCATGCGATGGGTTAAACCTGTATAGTTATATCTCAAAAACACAATGAAAACATTAGTATGGATCAAATCATGGTAAAAATAAAAAATAAAAAATCATGAAAATATGTCAACCGACCATGCTTGGAATGCTCGTTTTATGCACTTTTGATCATCAAGGACGATCAAGTCTTACCTTATAACACCTCAGGGATTGTTTGGAACAGCTGGTTTGCTTTGAGAAGGGCTGAGATAATGATTTCAAGTTTTCCCTAATTTGGACAAATTTTGATATTTTTGAGAGGGTTCTCCTGCAAGGTTTTTTCGTGGTTGCCATGTCTGAATATAATGTATATTTATAGGCCATGAATTAGGTTAAAAGATAGACTTGGACTTTGTATGAGAACTTTTGATTTTGTTTGAAAGTAGAACATGAACAAGACAAAATAAGAAGATTTGGTTCAAGAATAAGCTCACACGATTTTTGTATGATCTTGGGGCCCCAAAATAAATCAAATCTTCAGCCCTTTAAGCCTTGCACCTCCATTTGATATTTTTTGATTTAATCTGAATTTAAATGAATAAAAATAAAAAAAAAAGATAAAAAATTATAATGGTGCATGAATGAGTTTAGAGGTCCATAATAAGGTCAAGAACACATTTGGACTCTAAAAGATAAGCCCATTTGTCAAAAAATTCAAGTTTGCTCAAATTGGATTTCATGCATTTTCTCAAAATTATCAAACTTATACAATCCATAACTTGCTCAAATTTCATCATATGGATGTAATCTTAGACTTTTTGGAAAGCTCAAGATGTCCTTTACAATCTTTATGTTGGTTATTTTTCCATTTGAAGATTTTATATTGATGTAAATTAATTTGAAAAAAAGTGTATTTTTGTTGACTTTTGAAATGACCTATAATGTTTTGGCTCATATCTCTCAAATGAAGCATTTTTGGGCCTTGAGCTTAGAGAGAAAAAGTTGTAGAGAATTTAATTTTCATCAAAATGAGCTTTGGTTGAGAATTTTCTGTGAAGCATGTGAAAGTTATGCTTGGTAACAATTTAGTTGACTTCTCTTAAAGAAATCCCTAATTTAGCAACTTTTGACTTTTGATGAATCTTGATTTTTCTTGATAATTTATGATCAACCCTTGATCAAGTGGTGAATGTAACTTTAAAATGTTGATGTTTACCAAAAATCTTAAATTTTGACTGTATGTTAACCACAGTTGAGTTTTTACTCAAAATAGTTAATTTTCAATCATCTGAGCAATTGACCGAGCAAATTTGTACTGCAAGACATGAAATTTGACATGAGGATACCTTGATACATATAAGAGAACATGAAGTCTACTTGAGGCATTATAAGTCCAATTTCCTCTGCTTAGGAGGAGAATTTGTCTGATCAATTCTTGAATACTTTTGAGTACTTGATAAGCTTACGAGTATGAGAGATTCTTTTGAAAATGAGAGGGCAAATTTATGGAAGTAATATGTTATTGGAGCGTGTATGTAGCCTTGTGTGTTAACGTCTGACTGGGGAAAATAAATCTCTGATTGTTGCTGGGGATGAAGGCAATATTTCTTCAATTGGACTTTACTAGGGATTCCTGCTTTCGATTTGAGGATATTCCGCTGGGGATCTTCGACTTCTTCTTGGGGATAGAAGCATTCAAAGAGAGTCAGTTATTCATTGTTCTTTGAAGGATTTGAATCTTACTGGAGATGAAAGAGATGAAATTCCTTGATATGATTCTTGACTAGGTTTCATATGTGAGTATTGAGTCTTCTGGGAGTACCACATTGAATGTCATCTGATCGGAGAAGAGAATCTTGTCGGGGAATTTTTGCAACATGGGAGAAATAAACTACATTGGGGAAATAAACCCTATTGACTATGGCGACTTCACTGTGGAAATAGCCTTTGATGAAGACTAACTTGTGGGGGAAGATCTGAGGAAACTGCTCTATGGGAATGTATGGTCAACTCCTGGAGTCTTTCGTAAATGCTAATCCCGTTTTCATGCATATATTTGTAAATGGTAATCATATCCAAATGCATATGTTCATTCAATATAATCATTGGACATTTTTTGGAAACGAAACAAAATAAAAAATAGTTTTTGAAATTGAAACTGATTGTATTAATTTGGAAAGTATGTCTATAAATAGACAATTTTATACAAAGAGACATAAATCCACTCTTGTTGTTTACCTAATGAGTGTGTAAGAATCTATGCTTAAGAGCTAAAAGAAAATGCAAAGAGGGAGTGCATGCAAAAGAAAGGATAAAACAATGTAAGGAAAATAAAGCTGTACTTGCTTGGGCCCTACCCCAATGCCTACGTATCCTTTCTGAGGAATACGAGTTACCATAGTTCGGCTCACATGTTTCAGTTTGTTTTGTGTTTTTTTAATGAACAGTTAGAGGGTTAATTTTTATATGTAGTTCTGTTAACAACTGTTAGTTCCTGATTTTCCTGGTATGAACAAAATGCAGGGCTAAAGTTTGTTGTTTTTGTTGTGTTACTGTACAGGGCCGCAATTGTTATTGCAATATCAGTTTGTGCAATGTCATAGTACTGTAATGATGAGCTTAGAGTTGATGAGATAATTGGAACATGACGGTATAACGTTGTGGCTTCTTGAAGCATGGAGGCTTGAATGCGGTTTGAAGCAAGGTCA